GCACTATGTAATCTCACTGACTACCAATATTGGGGCATTGTTTACTTACATTGATGCTGCGAACATTTTTATTGCCACTGGGTGCAATCTGCACCCCCCCCCCCTCCTACCCCAAAGTCTTAGAGATAGTAAACTGGTCCTTTGTTTAGAAAGTTTTATTACCTTTACATATATATATATATATATATACACATACAGATTTATCAGATATGTCAGATCTGCTGATCTTCATGAATTATAATTGTCTGGATTTCTAAACTGTGCCATTCTCTGCAGGTCAGACATATCTAAAAGAAAATATTCAAAATCATAATGCAATGAATCAGCAGTTCTCCTGATTCAATCATCCATGATCACTAATTGTAACTGAAACAAACAAACATAAGCTAGGATTTCACATGACTAGCAAGCATCCAAGTCCAACTATTGACAAGTTTGGTACTGATTTCAGAAAGTATAAGATCAGTACATATAGCAATATGTTAATATTAAGAAAATGATAATGTATAATCACCTAATGGCAAATTGTTTGGAGGGTTGGAGGTTACACATAAAACGATTTAATAACAATGTACCTTATTGTAGCGCTAACCTCCTGAGAGCTGCTGAATTTGGGTCCCCCCTATTTCCTGCACAGCCAGAACACACACATTTTCCAACTTGTAACCAGACACAAAGAAACAATCCATGGGCTTGGTTTTTAAGATTTATAAGAGAATTTAACTTGGATAGGGTAAAGGGATTATGGGAATCCCAGCTTGATTGAAGAATAACAAAATGAAGACAATATCCTTCTCTAGAATACTGCAAAATTACAGACTTTTGACTGTGTTTCAGTCAGAATCACAACAGTCTTTAGCAAAGTAATTGCATCTTAGGAATTTAGCGCCCCTTGAGTGGGTTTTCAGCAGAGTGACAACATGTAGGAGCAGTGGGTCCCCCTTGTGAACATAATACCAGTCCATCTGGCTACGGTATCTGATCCAGAGTGAAGGATTGGGTAAGCCTTAAACTGTCCCCCAAAGACTTGCCAAGAACTTGTATCCCAGCAGAGTTTTCCCTTATAGGTCCTGAGGGTGTAGAGGTACTCACACTGTCCTTGTCCTGCAGCTGTGGATAGAACTGCTTTTAGAAAGTAAAAAACGGAAGAACTTCCTGCGCTAAGACTGGGACCCTATTTACCAAGCTGCTAACACAAACCTCCTTACCAAAATGAGTAAATAAACATAAACATACAGGTGTAGCGCTATCCCTAAACTAATTAAATATATGCCATACCACTAACTAATCAAAATATGACAGTGTTCTATAAATACCACTAAAGTGCAAAGTCTCTGTGCAATATGTGCAAAAAAATATAGTATAATATATAAATTGTGCAATCCGTGTACTGCCAACTATAAATAAAGTGCAATAGTGCCAATCATTAGCAAAAATCACTGCACACTTCTGTAAAAATATCGTCCATAAAGAAAAAAATGTCCAAATCCGACAAAAAACACACAAATCTTCATGCATGTGCTCACACGTGTCCACTCAATGTGAATCCAAAATAGCTGAAGTGGCCCCTCACCTCCTTGCCAAGACCCCACAGGGTCAGCTCACTTTATAACCAGGACACCACTCTGATGACTCACCAGGTCCTCCCCCGCCTCTTACACTTTATCAGCCGCCTCTTCCTCGTTTCATATACGGACAAAAGAACTTATATAGTGTAATACTGTTTAATCATTAATGATATAGATATAAAACAAATTGCCCACTCACATTTGTTATCTCTCATTACATGCCTTCAATACCCCCTGCTGTGAATCTCCTGCATGGGTATTAGATACAGATATCCCAAATATGGCCGCCACGCCGGAACTGACGTCACCATGCTCCCAGAATCCTCCTCGCGTACCGACGCGTTGCGTCACGTTATCACGTGACTTCCTCAGGGTTAACGCCCACCGAGGACTGGATTCTAAATATACTCCTCCTAGCCCAATCAAATGATTGGGGGAGGACCCGAGCGGCCATTTTCTCGTAGTCCTACTATACTCACCATTTATAGCGGTGACAGTACAACTTATACAGGACCAAGGAGCACCGGACCGACCACCTAATACAAACCCCTCTCATCATATACTGTTATATTTGTAATCCTCCACCAAAGGACCACAAACAACAGCCTCTACAGTATTTTATATTGTATATTATATATTACCAATCCACCTAATTAACTTAATGAAAAACGTGGACCTATATGATTAATCTATATGGGTACATATACCTCTTCCCACTCCCCTAGTGGAAAAATAACATATTACACTTAAAATAAATTAAACATAAAAACTACTTTTAATTACATAAAAAACTCCCATATCATAATCAATACCCACAGCATGGGGTATTGAAGGCATGTAATGAGAGATAACAAATGTGAGTGTGGGCAATTTGTTTTTATATCTATATCATTAATGATTAAACAGTATTACACTATATAAGTTCTTTTGTCCGTATATGAAACGTGGAAGAGGCGGCTGATAAAGTGTAAGAGGCGGTGGGGGGAGGACCATGGTGAGTCATCAGAGTGGTGTCCTGGTTATAAAGTGAGCTGACCCAGTGGGGTCTTGGCAAGGAGGTGAGGGGCCACTTCAGCTATTTTGGATTCACATTGAGTGGACACGTGTGAGCACATGAATGAAGATTTGTGTGTTTTTTGTCGGATTTGGACATTTTTTTCTTTATGGACGATATTTTTACAGAAGTGTTGTCAGGAAAATGGACTGGCCAGCAATGGTGGGACTCACCTGCTTTTGATCTGCAGTACCAGGGCTGGCCAGCGGGTGCTCCCAGCAATCAGAGACTCAACCTTTCAGCCAGCTAACACCTGGAACTGATGATACTGGTGTATTTAAGGGATGGCCAGACTTGCAGACTCTGCCTTGGTGTTGTGTTTGTCCTGGGCCCTGTATCTGTCCTGCATCCTGTTTCTGTTCCTTTGCTGACCCTGCCTGATCTGAACCGCTGCTGACTTCTCCTGCTCTGATCCCGGCTCGCTCCTGACCATCCCTCTGCCTGACCCTCTGTACAACGCTGCTTGCTACCTGTTCTGATCCTGGCTTGTGACCCTGACCATCCCTCTGCCTGACCCTCTGTACTACGCTGCTAGCTACCTGCTGAACCTGGCCTGTGACCCCGACCCATCTCCGCTTGCTTGCCCCCCTTGTACCTACCTGCCCTATTGATATTGGACCCGGCCTGCCTGATGACGCTTGCTTGTATGTACTGTGTTATCTGTGGGTGGTTGGTTTGGTTTGTTTGCACTGTATATTATGTTTTAGTATTGCACTGCGTTTATGTTTGTATTGTTAGTGTTAATAAATTATTTTGTTTATCACATATCTGAAGTCTGCGTTTCCCTGCGTCAGTCACACACCTCTGGTCACACCTGGGAGCCCTGACATTACACCAAGGCCAATCCTGACCAGAAGTGGCTGCACAGGGAAGCCATCTTGGCTTGTTGCTGGGAAGGATGGATCTGGATGAGGTTGAGTATTTATCTCTGCTAGTGCTTGATGACAGAAAATATGCTTATCAGACTCTGAAGGAGTATCCCAGGGATCAACTGCTAGAATGTATACGGCTCGCTCATGTTCTAGTAGATCAGGGCACAGAGTTCTCTATGGTTGCAGCCATTGATTAAGGTTTGTGTTGAGTTGGTTTCATCTGGTACCCCCGAATGCAGGGATGAATTTTTGCCACCATTTAGTGCAGACCAGGTAGAGTCCCTGGTGTGGTTATTAGAGGATGATGTGGGTTACTTTCTGGAGCGTTATTCCACATGTTCACCACAGGTACTAAGAGATTGTATAAACGCAGTGCAGTCTTGGTCAGACAGGCTTTGTGTAAGCTCAGCTTTGTTCAACCCTTACTGCAGACATGGACAGACTTGTTGCACCCAGCCTCAGTCAGCTTACAAAGACCAGTCCTGCTTCTAATCTATTTCCTCAAAGCTCTACTCCTGTATTCCCCACAACTCCCCCAGTTACAGCCCAGTATACTTGGCTATCTACCGCATGTCAGTACCCTGTTCCCACTCGCTGCACCTATCCTGCCTTTTTAACCCTGTAAAAAAGCCCTCTCTGTAGCAACTGCTCCCTCTCCTGTTCCATCCTCCAGTTCTTCTCTGTCTCCAGCTGCTCCATTCGTTTGCAGACCTGCGTTTACTTGCAGTGCTCCAGTAGTTAAAACCGAGAAAAAAGCGAAAATTCTTTCTAACCAATACCATCCTGCCAGTATCCAAACCGGTGAACCTGCCTTCTGTGGTTCAGCCTGAAGCCTCTACTCAGCCTGAATCCTCTACTCAGCCTGATGCCTGTACGCAGCCTGATGCCTCTCTTCTGCCTGAAGCCTCTACTCGGCCTGATGCCTCTACTCGGCCTGAAACCTCTACTCGGCCTGAAGCCTCTACTGCTGAGCCTCTACTCGGCTGGAGCCTCTACTCGGCCTGGAGCCTCTACTCGGCTGAAGCACTCTACTCAGCCGGACGCCGGCATTCAGCCTGATGCCTCTACCCAGCATGATGAACTGATCCAGCCTGACGATCCTATTAGGCCAGTTGACTCGATGCCCGCTGTTGATCCAGATGGTCCGGTACCTGATCCGGTGCCCGCTATCGTGCCAATTGACCTCAGAGCCCGCTGTCGTACCTGGTGACTCGGTGCCCACTGCCTTGCCAGGTGACGCGGTGCCCGCTGGCGAGCCAAATGACCTGATGCTTTTTTTTCTGGTGACCCAGGGCCCCGCTGTCATACCTGGTGACCCGATGCCCGCTGTCGAGCCAGATCGATCCAATGCCTGGTGACCCGGTGCCCCGCTGTCAAGCCAGACAATCCGGGTACCTGATGACCCGGTGCCCACTGTCGTGCCTGTTGACTCGGAGCCCACTGCCTTGCCAGATGACGCGGTGCCCGCTGTCGAGCCAAATGACCTGATGCCTGGTGACCCGATTGCCCGCTGTCGAGCCAGACAATCCAATGCCTGGTGACCCGGGGGATGCCCCGCTGTCAAGCCAGACAATCGGTACCTGATGACCCGGTGCCCACTGTCGTGCCTGTTGACTCGGAGCCCACTGCCTTGCCAGATGACGCGGTGCCCGCTGTCGAGCCAAATGACTTGATGCCTGGTGACCGATGCCCGCTGTCCGTCAGACGATCCAATGTCTGACCCAGTGCCCGCGATCATACCAGTTGACTCGGAGCCCACTGCCCTTGCCGATGACGCGGTGCCCGCTGTCGAGCCAAAATAACCTGATGCCTGGTGACCCGATGCCCCGCTGTCCAGCCAGACGATCCAATGTCTGACCCAGTGCCAGCGGTCATGCCCGTTGACTCGGAGCCCACTGTCGTGTGCCTGGTGACTCGGTGCCCGCCGCTTCGCCTGGGGGCCCGAGACCTGTCGCTCCGCCTGGGGGTCCGGTGCCCGCCCGCTCCGACTGAGGGCCCGAGACCTGTCGCTCCACCCTGGGGTCCGGCGCCCGCCGCTCCGCCTGAGGGCCCGAGGACCTGTCGCTCCACCTGGGGGCCCGAGACCTGTCGCTCCGCCTGGGGGTCCGGCGCCCGCGCCGCTCCGCCTGGGGGTCCGGCGCCCGCCGCTCCGCCTGAGGGCCCGAGACCATGTCGTTCCGCCTGGGGGTCCGGCGCCCGCCGCTCCGCCTGAGGGCCCGAGACCTGTCGCTCCACCTGGGGGTCCGGGCGCCCGCCGCCTCCGCCTGAGGGCCCGAGACCTGTCACTCCACCTGGGGGTCCGGCGCCCCGCCGCTCCGCGCTGAGGGGCCCGAGACCTGTCGCTCCATCTGGGGGTCCGGCGCCCGCCGCCGCTCCGCCTGAGGGCCCGAGACCTGTCGCTCCCGCCTGGGGGTCCGGCGCCCGCCGCTCCGCCTGAGGGCCCGAGACCTGTCGCTCTGCCTGGGGGTCCGACGCCCGCCGCTCCGCCTGAGGGCCCGAGACCTGTCGCTCCACCTGGGGGTCCGGCGCCGCCGCTCCGCCTGAGGGCCACGAGACCTGTCCCTCCACCTGGGGGTCCGGCGCCCGCCCGCTCCGCCTGAGGGCCCGAGACCTGTCGCTCCATCTGGGGGGTCTGGCGCCCGCCGCTCCGCCTGGGGGCCCGATGCCCGCCGCCCCGCCTGGGGGCCCGATGCCCGTCGTCCCCCCCGCCTGGGGGCCCGATGCCTGTCGCCCCGCCTGGGGGCTTGATGCCTGTCGCCCCGCCTGGGGGCCCGATGTCTTGTCGCCCCCGCCTGGGGGCCCGGCGCCCGGCGCTCCGCCTGGGGGCCCGGCGCCCGCCGCTCCGCCCGTGGGCCCGGTTGCCTGTCGCCCCGCCCTGGGGGCCGGATGCCGTCGCCCCGCCCGGGGGCCCGATGCCGTCGCCCCGCCCGGGGGCCCGATGCCTGTAGCCCGCCGGGGGCACCGATGCCTGTCTAGCTTAGTCGCCCGGGAGGCCGGGGACCCGGTGCCTGATGTGCTCCCGCCCGGGGGCCCGGTGCCGACCCCGCTCTGGTAGTCCTGCCCGATGTGCCTCTGCCCGGAGTCCTGCCCCGATGTGCCTCTGCCCGGCGTCCAGCCCGATGTGCCTTCTGCCCGATGTGCCTCTGCCCGGAGTCCAGCCCGATGTGCCTCTGCCCGGAGTCCAGCCCGATGTGCCTCTGCCGATGTGCCTCTGCTCGGTGTGCCTCTGCCCGATGTGCCTCTGCCCGGAGTCAAGCCCAATGTGCCCAGCCCAGCCCGATGTGCCTCTGCCAGGTGTGCCTACTGCCCGGAGTCCAGCCCGATGTGCCTCTGCCCGGAGTCCAGCCCAATGTGCCTCTGCCCGGAGTCCAGCCGATGTGCCTCTGCCGGAGTCCAGCCCGTATGTGCCTCTGCCGGAGTCCAGCCCAGGTAGGTGTGCTGTGCCTCTGCCCGGAGTCCGCAGCCCGGTGTGCCGCTGCCTGCCGGAGCCCGGTGCCGGCTGCCCGAGTCCTTACGGTGTGCCAGTCTTTGATATCCCGCCAGTTACCAGACCCGGGCGGTGGAACATTTTGCCAGCTAGGACTGTTTGGAGCGTCCTGAGGCCGCTCCTTGGGGGGGGGGTACTGTCAGGAATGGACTGGCCAGCAATGGTGGGACTCACACTGCCTTTTGATCTGCAGTACCAGGGCTGGCCAGCGGGTGCTCCCAGCAATCAGAGACTCAACCTTTCAGTCAGCTAACACCTGGAACTGGATGATACTGGTGTATTTAAGGGATTGGCCAGACTTGCAGACTCTGCCTTGGTGTTGTGTTTGTCCTGGGCCCTGTATCTGTCCTGCATCCTGTTTCTGTTCCTTTGCTGACCCTGCCTGATCTGAACCGCTGCTGACTTCTCCTGCTCTGATCCCGGCTTGCTCCTGACCATCCCTCTGCCTGACCCTCTGTACCACGCTGCTTGCTACCTGTTCTGATCCCTGGCTTGTGACCCTGACCATCCCTCTGCCTGACCCTCTGTACTACGCTGCTAGCTACCTGCTGAACCTGGCCTGTGACCCCGACCCATCTCCGCTTGCTCCCCCTGTACCTACCTGCCCTATTGATATTGACCCGGCCCTGCCTGACGACGCTTGCTTGTATGTACTGTTTTCTGTGGGTTGGTGGTTTGTTTGCACTGTATTATGTTTTAGTATTGCACTGCGTTTATGTTTGTATTGTTAGTGTTAATAAATTATATTGTTTTATCATATATCTGAAGTCTGCGTTTTTCCCTGCATCAGTCACACACCTCTGGTCACACCTGGGAGCCCCTGACAAGTGTGCAGTGATTTTTGCTAGATGATTGGCACTATTGCACTTTATTTATAGTTGGCAGTACACGGATTGCACAATTTATATATTATACTATATTTTTTTGCACATATTGCACAGAGACTTTGCACTTTAGTGGTATTTATAGAACACTGTCATATTTTTGATTAGTTAGTGGTATGGCATATATTTAATTAGTTTAGGGATAGCGCTAGAACTGCTTTTAGACCTTCCTCTGGGCTGGTTCTTTTCCAGGCTATGCACACTGTCCTGCCCCGATGGATGGCAGGGCAGTGGAGCTCCCTCTTTTAGATTCCCTGCTTCCTCCAACCTCCAGCATGGAGAAAGGACCCCCCCCCTTCCCTGGGACCCCCTCCCAGGCTACACAGCAGAACCTCATGCCTCCATCTTCCACCCAACTCCCCTAGCCGACCTGGCTCTGTCACTTATGGGCCAATCTGCCACACTGACATGCCTCCTAACTGGGATTGGTCAGACTCCCATAAATATGCAGATCAGCCCCTCCTCACCTCCGCCTACTGACTTCTAGAAACTTCTCCACGCTTCTAGAGCAGGGGAGGGTTCTGACCTGTAAAAAGGAGCGGGAGGTACCACAGGACTGACCTGTAAAGCCCTCCAGCTTAACATGAAGTAACCCTCTCACTCACACTCAGGCTTCTAACAAGCCCTCTAACTACACTCAATAGATGTACACTAGAAGGCGCTAACATTATAGTATGCAAACTGAACTTGTATTACTTTTGTTGAAAATAAAGTATAAGCATGTTTGTACATTGTTTTTCTGGTGACTGGCCTTGCTACTATCAGTGTGGAGCTGTTATTGCTTGGGAAAAATAATCAGAAGATGTGGGACAGGCAGAGGATAGAGCTGATAGGGGTATGATTATCATTTTGCTCCTAAGCACTGTGTCAACTATGTGCTAACATAGTAAAATGGAGAAAAAGTAAGTACATCCAATAGAAACTGTTGTCTTTTTCAACATATTTAACAGAGAAACATTACATTTTGATTTTAATAGTGCCTGAAGATAAAAGAGAAATATTTGTACAAATGACATATAATACTAATTGTATTAATTTGCATGAATGAATCCAAATGAAGATTTGTTATGTGGAAAAATTAAGTACGCTTTTACATTTACCACCACTTTTAATCCATGAAGATGTCTGTGAGGTGTTCCAGATCAGGTGTCAAGGATTAGACCCTCCTAAGTGAGTATGTAGGTGGATTTTATTTAACCTCTTGAGCCCCAGTGCCATTTAAGCACACTATAGCGCCCAGGAGAGTGAGTACTCCAGTTAAGCTGACTGTCAGCTGTCATCTTCACAGTCACTTCCACAACTACCACAACATACATAGCTCCCCTATGCAAACTTTATAATGAAAAATGTAAAAATGTTTAAACCCCCACATACACACATACATGCAAAAGTATATGCTTCGGGGTGCCTATGTGTAAAATTGGTGATCTACATACGTTATACAGCGTTGTATATCACCACACATGCCAGAAAAAAACAGCACCCATACCGTAACAAATACATAACTTCCAATCCATTTATTCTACAATGCCTTTAGCATACCAAAGCTATACAGATCAAGGAAAGAAGCTATTCCACAACCTGGCGTTACCAGAAGGGTAGCAGCGTATACAGAACATTACCAGGATGTGAAGTATCTTCCAATACATTAATTGCTCTCTAAAGACAGCTTCCCTCCTTCAAATCCTCAATAATCAGAAACTTAAACTACTACAATAATCTTCTGTGCTGTTTTTATTACCCTCTACAAGGCATTTCTGTCATGGACTGTGCATGATCTTTGCCACAGAGAAATGTGATACATTAACACACTTTCAGTTGCAGCTTTATAGAAGCTAATTAGGACATGCTCTAAAAAGTCTGCCCTCCATAATTACTATTCACAGTTACATCTAAATTGATGACCTGTAGAGGCTTTAATGGCTTCACCTATAGACAAATGTGCATACTGCAGTTTGTCACAACTTCACTGGCACTCTAAATTTTAAGGCTTAACAAAATTAGGTATCTATTTACTCGACAAAACCTCATCTGCTTATTTGTCCAGAAATGGATTGTCCAGCAAATGCAGTCCAAGAGCTGACTGTTTTATACTAAAAGATGTCTCTGAGAACACAAGAAGGTAATTACCGGGTGTTCTGATAACTTTTGCAATAGTTGAGGTCCAGGTATGTGCATCTGCAATCAGAAAGATATTGCACTAATTTAACCTGCATGGTGTGTATAAAAGTAGAGGGTTATAATCAGACCTAGTCAAAGCCCTGATTTGCCATTTTAAATTTTGTAGGGGGAATTTCTGCAGTGGCAGTTTCTGCAAGGCAACTCAAACTTTTTAAAAATGAAGGAATTTTTAATTGAAAAGAGGTCAAAATTTTATTTTGAGTTGTTATCAGAGACTGACAGATATGCAAAATGCTTAAAAGAAGTAATTGTTTATACGGTATGTTTAAATTGTATTCTATCCATTCTTTTTCTTACAAATGGAAAAAAGGGGTTTTCTGCCTGTGTTTTTTATGAGAGGTTTCCCTTTCCTTACTCTCTTTAAAACACAACAGGAGGTGAAAGGAAGTCATACCACAGTGAGAGAAATACTAGCTTAAGCCCTTGTAACCTACACAGGCATTCTCATTGAAGGATTTTCTCTGATTTCCTGTTTTAGTTACAATTGTAAATTTTTATATCCCATCACTTTCAGGCCTGGTGACTGTGAGAGTGATACTCCCTAGGCAGCAATAAATACCCAGTGAGGTTTTAAGAGACAGCTTTGCAGCTTCCTTTGTCTTAAAAAAATGTGGTGCTGAGGTATCTGATAATATGTAATTTCTGTGATGACTCATTCAGATTCTGTAAATAACGCACTTTTTCTTAGAACAGCTAAAGGTTGCATTAGCTGAATATGATCAAAGTAGACTAGAGGTCCAACTTCTGGTTTGTAAGAAGACTGCATAATATTAGTATGCAATTTTTTTAATTTTTTTTAAAAATAAAACAACACAGTCACAAGCAATAAACAATCACTCAGAAAAGGATGGAGGAATAGTGGAATTGTGAGCTGCCTTTGCAACAGTTTTAGAAGACCATATGTAACCAGTGTGTTCTATATATGTTATCCAATATTCTTTCCACATTGGTCAGTATAATATTATACAACTGTAAAATAATAGAAATACAGTGATAAACTTATATTCCATATTTCAAATAACACTGTTCAACAGGTAAAAAGTTTTGGGCATAAAATTAGCTAATCTTACATAATTTTGGGGTGCTGAAAACGAAAATGACCCTAAAAAATGTTGATTGGCTCTAGTTTCCATGATATATTCACCCAT